TTTTTTTTTTTTGTAAATTGCCTTTACAAATATTTTAATAAAAGACTGCACTCATTTTATTTTCCTCCAGCTTTAGTATTCATCAAACAAAATGTATTTAGTAACGATATAGCACATGCTGCATACACCACACTTGGTTGTAACGTGCAATAAACATTTAAACCTGGTATAATTGTCTTCTATTAATCTCACCTCGTCTTCCTTCTGTTTCACACTCGGGAGGACATAGCGGCTGATGATGATTATTAATATTGCGGTCTTGTAGAAATGGCTCGGGTCACATCCTGATCAATCCCAATAAAATAAAGCGTGTTTGGAATTCTTTTTTTTCTTTCCCCTTCTTGCCGTGGTGATGGAACAATTTAACTTGTGCATAACCGAGACTGATATTGTTGATCTCCCGGGTTTTACAGAGGTCACCTCTTTTTATTTTATTGTAAATTCAATACATCCTCCTGAGTGATAGCTGAGTGGAAAAGAACATTGGCGTTAAACACCGAGGACGCAGACAAATGGCAATTTGAGATTCTGGAGATCTTTAGATGTTTTGTCTGGACCGGAGACTTTATTTCAGCGTGAACTAGCAATTATTGCCAACATGTTAGAATTATTGTTATCAACAGAATTATTGTTTTATTTTTGTGTTTTTTTTCAGCTTTGTATTTTTGATAATGATTTATATTGCCCCGTCTGCTCCTGTGATTCTGTACAAAGTAGGGGTATTGGATAAAGTTAAAGCAAACCTGTCCGCTTAGCTGTACTTGGGGCCGGGAGTGCTGACTAGGATTTAAGGTTATAATACTATTGTGTTGTAGTAACCTGCAGTAGAACATGGGACAGCAACACACGTTAACGTGTGTGGTGCACTGCCATTTAAAGAAGAACTCAGAATGAGCAGAATTATTCTCAACTCTTAAAGGAGAACTATGTGGTGAGTGAAAATCACTCACTCTCATAGTTCGAGCCAACGTGAGACAATGAAACTGTCGCACGTCGGCTCAATAGATCAGGAAGTGAGTGAACACATACTGTCGCTCGCTCACTTCTCGATCATCTCCCTGCAGAGAGCCGTGACTGTCGGTCACGGCCCTCTGCAGGGATCCCCCCCCTCCCCGCTCCGATCCTCCAGCGCTGAGTGGAGGAATGAACGGGGGAGAAGGCAGGGCCAGCTATCACTCACGCAGCAGGGTGGATCTCGACAGTAATGTCTGGATACGTCTCGGCTGTGGCACTCTCAGTATACCGCGAGCTGTGGCTTGCTATATACTGAGCTTTGGGTCACGGGAGGAGGTTAGTATATGTCTTACCGTGACCCTTAAGAGAACTATGGGGTAAAACACTTACCCCATAGTTTTCTTTTGAAGTGGGGGGTCCCCGGCACTGCAAGGGTTAAGTGCTCGTTTCTGTGTAGGGATAAAAATGAAGTTCTACTCACCCAGTCTTCCGAACTGGCTTGCTGTTAGACCGGTCCGTCCAGCCTCACTCCTCCTCTGCTGCAGAGGTCTAAGGTCCCCGAGTCATCACATACTTAACACAGAAAAATTATACTCAGCTGAACCACGGAGTCGGCTGGCTACCAGACCAGTCCCTGGAGCCTCTCTCCCACTCCGATCCAGCTATCTAAGGTCCTGTGAGTCATCAAGTCCTATACATTGCATATGATGTGAGGATGCTGAGGGATTTCCCATTGCTAGAGCAGATGAGGAGACAGGTTGCAGGTACCGGTCTAACAGCCAGATGGCTGCGCGGTTCAGGTGAGTGTAACTTTTTTTTTTTTTTTTAATTTTCATACCTAGACAAAAAAGGAGCACTGAACCCTTTGGGTAGCCCCACTCTAAGGGTTAAGGATCATTCTGCCCAGAGCTCTTCTTTAATTCTAAACGGCATCCCAATGCACATATACAGTAAACTAATGGCACCACAACAAGTCAGATTTGAGAATAAGTTGTGTGCTGACATTTACAAAACTAGTGCAGGTGTGCACGTGTTTTTTGTTTTTGCACTGAGGTTCATTGCTTTAAAAGAGATACGGGGTAACCTTTTTATTCCATAGTTCTCTTTAGGGTCACAGGAGGACATATACTAACCTCCTCTCGTGACCCAAAGCTCAGTATATTGCGGGCTACAGCTCGTGGTATACTGAGAACAGTGCAGCCAGGACGGATCCCGACAATACTGTTGAGATGCACGGAGCTGTCTGATTGACAGCGGGTTCTGCCTATCTCGAGTCAGTGCCAGCTGTACCCACCCCCTTCACGTCTGTTCCTCCTGTCAGTGCTGGAGAAGTGGGGTGGGGGGGAACCCTGCGGGGAGCTGTGACTGACGGTCACGGCTCGCTGCAGGGAGATGATCGGGAAGTGAGCGAGCGACGGTATGTGTTCGCTTACTTCCCGTTCTATAGAGCCAACGCGTGACCGTTTCATTGTCACAGGTCGGCTCGAACTATGAGGTTGAGTGGAAATCACTCGCCTCATAGTTCTCCTTTAACACAACATATGTCAACACACCTGCAAAAAAAAATGCATTAACACATGACAATAATTGAAGGGGCCCTAAACGTGGAATATCATTCCGGCAGAACAAGTATAAAACCAGAACAAGTATAAAAAACTGATTTCATAATTCTGGTCGGTGATGCTCTGTCTTGTTAAGTAAGCATGATGAGTCCTGAGCATGGAACTTTAGAAACATTTTGGCAGGTTAAGCACATCGTTTTTCTCTGGACAGATTCACTTTAATGAAACCCTACAGTCGGTAAGGCTGATGTCACACGAGCAACTCTGCCACTAGCGACACATGACCGGCAGCAGAGCCTTCCACTCTGTGGAATCTTAGTTTGAACACGGCCAGACCTCCCTCGCTAGAGACGGGGCAATAAGGGAGCAACATCTCGATGGCCCCTCTAGCATGGGAACAATGCTATAGAGACTGGCAAGCAATCTCTTAGTGATCCGGAGGATGGCAAGTTGTTGCTAGCATCCAAATACATAAGCAAAGACTTTCTTTTAGTGCAACCTATACATCACAATGATCAGCAGATAAAGAATTACAGGCAATTGAAGCAATATGTGATCCTTGTAATGAACTTGCATTGCACCACCCATTCCCATCTTTTGAACCTTCTTATTTGTGAAGCTGATTCATTAACCTATAGGGAGGCTGGTAAGACAAGAGAGGAAGAAGCTAAGCTACATTTTTACGTTGCTGGACCTACTACTGATTGATGTGTTGTCCGCAAATTACAAAAACCTATCACAGCAGCAACCTGCCATTTCTTCTGGTGACCCCAATGTCCAAACTGGGCAGCCAAATAAAATTTGATTTTATATTGACCAAAATCTATTACAGCTGGGATGATAACATCTTACAAAGCATGTGCTTTGAGGTGTGAAGCGAATGTGCTATGAGGTGTGAATGAACACCTACGAAGTGTTCACCTATGTGAAATTTTATTCCTGCTTGGAGTTCAGCTTGAAAACATCACACATTTCCTTGCAGTTTAGGGGATCCACGTACCATCAAAAGCAGGTTTATCCAACAGAAAGCATTCATTTCGGAAATAGCGGTATGCTGTGTTACCATTATAGACTCCAAATGTGCCTAGCAGAGTTCTCTAACTAGCTTAGGGACACCTCCTCTGTAGAAAAGGGTCTCAGGCCATAGAAGGCCCTAAGGAAAATCGCTTGGTGTTCTTTTGAGGCTTGTGTGTAGTATACGCAGCAGTCCTATGTAGGCTCTATACGTATTATGTATTAAGAATGTATGAGCAGCAGCTGCTCTACAGGAAGAGTTTTATCTTAAACACCTAATCATCTGATCTTACATTTATAATACATGTACAGACCACTGAGACTCGCCGTCTCTTCAGAGATTTCCAGTATCAGGAAATGAAAGCTAACAACGGGAATAAAGAAAAATAAGTTGACTTTTTTCTTGCTTTTTTGTTTTTTATTCTTTTTTTCAGCTGTTGTTATTATTTTTATGTTTAAAATTGTATTCCGTCTATTTCAGCTGGTGTGACAGCCGAGTCTATTCAAACTGGCAATGCAAGCCCAGAATCAGGAGGGTCAGAGGTTAAAGTTCAAGAGGAAGAGCACGACCTTGTGGATGACGACCTTGCAGCAGGTAAGGTTTTTTTTCTTTCTCCTCTTTTCAAATTGAGTTATCTTAGAGAGTTTTTTTTAATTGGATTGGGAAAGGTTGAATTTGTATTCAGTGGAAAACAAATACTTGAAAATTGATAATTGGAAGGTAATGGAGATCTCCCTCTCTTCAGCACATATTATTAAAAACGACCCTTCTTCCAAGCTGTAATCAAACTGTCTTGTGGATGTCCTTGGGTCCTCTCCTCTCTGCGATGGGCAGTATTCAATACTGCGTTATGATGTTGACACAAGTCTGCAGTACTGTGTTGCCCATAACTGCCTGGGCTCACAGGAAGTGGGTTGAATGATGCTGGCCATAGTATAACCTGGAAGAGGCAGAGTGGGATTCCTATGGGGGCCAAAACTGGACACAAGATGAGTATTTCGGGGAGATTTGTTGTTGTGTTTTTTTGTCCATTCTAGAATATACAATTATTTTTGTTTTTAGAACATTTATATTGGTTTGTTTGTAAAAAATAAATCAAAGCAACTGGACTTGCTGTATTTTCTTGAAGACGTTTCACTGGTCAGCTTTCTCAATTCAGAACGACTTGTACAAAAAATCTCTGGGAATAAATATGGTGAATGTTGCTCCAATCCACATAATCTGTTCATTGCAACCAGGTGTTGTTTGCATTTGCATAATTGGAGCTAGGAGGTGTTATTAACTTGCCCAGAGAGAGGCGTTAAAATAGCATTGTATGTGGCAGACGATAGATGTCTCACACCCCCGCCACCTAAACACCCTCTATTCAAGCTTGGCTTCTCCATTTTGTGCGCAAGGCCTCCCTCAGGGATGTCAGTTGGGCGAGGAGAGCCGGGTCTGCGCAATGTTTATGACGAGTTTCAAGCGTGTGGATCTGTGTCAGCAAAGAGGAAATCTGGTGGAGATGCTGGCGCTTGATGCGGGTTCCAATCCTGATCAGGGTGCCCCTGATATATACCTTATGGGCCTCCCAGATCGAGTATGGGGAACAGGCTTCTCCATTTTTGCATAAATGGACTCTTTCAGACCAGTCCTCCTCCCTGTCGAGGTTTTGGTTTGTCTTGGTTTTTCAGTTTTCCAGAATATCACAGTGTAAGACAAAGCATGTTGATGCAAACTAACATATGTATTTTGATTGCATATATGTTAGACATAGTTTGCAAATTCAGAACAGATAGTTACTTTGTATTTGTCATAAATATAGATATAGGAGAGTCAAGATATCATGTAAGTAGTCCATTACAGCAGAAAAGAAGGCATGTATGTTGTCAGTTACAGTAGAAAGTTTCCTAAATAGATATAACAGGTTGTCGCTAGCATCGAAATACATAGTGCAAACCATAAATCATAATGATCAGCAGATATAGAAATACAGGCAGGTGAAGCAATATGTGATCCTTGTAATGAGCATGCATTGCCCCACCCATTCCCATCTCTTGAACCTTCTTATTGGTGATGCTGTTTCATTAACCTATAGGGAGCCTCATAAGACAAGAATGGAAGAAGCTAAGGTACATTTTTACGTTGCTGGACCGAATACTGATTGATGTGTTGTCCACAAATAAAAAAATAAAAAATCTATCACAGCAGCATCCTGCCATTTCTTCTGGTGATGCCAATGTCCAAACTGGGCAGCCAAATACATTTGATTTTATATTGCCCATAATCTATTACAGCTTAGATGATAAAATCTTAAATTGTATTTGTCATTAACATAGATATAGGAGAGTCAAGAAGGCATGTATGTAGTCAGTTACAGTAGAAAGTATCCTAAATAGATATAATGGGAGAGAGAAGGGGAAGCAAAGGTGTTAAATTCACGGTATTGCTTGAAGTAAGGACCAACCATCTCATTTATCATGTAAGTGTTTCATAGAATCATGAATAGTATGAAAGACTCTTTCCATGAGTATTCTGGAAACCAGGCATTTGGATTTTGGCCAGTGGGGCTAATTGAGAGCACCAATTTAAGTCTATTACTCATTGCACTGCACAATAGGGTGTTAAAGTTTTTCAAGATGGTAGGCTACATACTGGATAGGAGCAAACATAAACAGATGGGTAATAACAAGGTCAAAGGTTGGCTTGCTCATTGTGTAACCAAAGATGTAATAAAGTGCCATAGTGGTCGGAGTACCTTGCAGCTCTGGAATATATGTTCAAATGTTCCTGTGGAGGGACAACCCCAAAAGCAATTGTTTTGGACCTCCAAGAAGATAGTGTGAAGTCTTTGAGAGGTCAAATACCACCTGGTGTGTAGTTCGTGTAAATCTGACATTTCATCCCATCGTTGGGTGGAGAAGGTATCTCCACAATCCGGTTTCGGCCATAGTGTGAACAAGCCCCAAACTAAAATAGTCAGCCATTTATTTAAAGAAAAGTCAAGGAACAGGGGCAACTTTTTGAATTTTGTTTAAAAAGAAAAAATGATGTTGCGAAATGACAAAAAGGTCTTCACATTCTGTTTTGGAAACTTGAATTTAATTTAGAAGTTTGAATTTAACCCTTGCGTCAGTCTTCTACATTACCTTGCTATAATGCAGCTGAGGTTTTCTATAACAAGCTTCTTTTCTTAAAAGGATTTAATAGTTTTCCTTTGGGAAAGAGAGAACCTCCAGTAGTCTAATGAAGTCCCTAGGTAGCGGCAAAGTCATCATTATTTCAACTGTTCTCTTCTCTTGTACGTTTATGTTTAACTCTTTATAGAAGATGGACAATAATAATAATACTATTTTTATAGTGTTTTTTTTTTAAATCTCTATAGAATTCTTAGCGCTTAACCAAATATGTTAAATGTACAAACTATATTGTAAATTTAGTAAAACCCATAGGCTTACATAAACAAGCGCACCTTTAGCCTTTTGAAATCAATGTGGAGATGGAGGTTTGTAGACAAAAATGAGGATTGAGTTTCATAGTGTTGAAGCTGCATGTGAGGACCGTTCAGTCTGATTTAAGGTAGGTCCTGGAGGTGTACAGTTTTTTTTTTTCTGGGGAGCGAAGGTAGCGATGTGATAGGGTTCTATTGATAATTGAACTGTGTGAAGTGGTATTTACTCTGTATAGGGTTAAAGAAAGATGATGTCCTTTTGTTAACCCTTTTGCTGCCAAGGCCCTTTTTTATGTTTTCTTTTTTTGCACACTTGATATAATCCACATTCTAGGACTGAAAATTACTTCAAACCCCCAAAACATTTATATATTTTCTGAAAGCCAACACCCTGCAGCATAATATGGTGGCAGTTGCAAATTTTTATGTTGCACGATATTGCTGCAACTCTTTATAAACCCCAAAATTTTGTGAAAAAATGCACTTGTTAATTTTAGTGCCCCAAAACACAATAAAATATCAATTTTTTTGTACAATATAAAAGATGGCATTAGAATGCATAAATAGATACCCAACATGTCCAGATAAAAAATTGTGCACATATGTGGAACGGCGACAAATTTCAGTACCCAAGAAGTCCATAGATGACACTTTTAAAAGCCCCTACAGATCATCAGTTTAGAGTTTTGCATAAATATTGGCCTAGAATTATTGCTCTTACTCTGGCGTGCGAGACGATACCACGTGTGTATACATGTAACGTGTAGCGCGATCGCCGTTTTTGTACGTAGACACACCCAACGTGTGCTTGCGTGAATGCACGTTCGCGGGGCGGCGACTTTCACAATTGTTCATTATTTTTACATTAGTTTTATTCTATATTTACTAAATATACACTGAGTGGCCAGATTATAATGACCACCCTATCAGTACTTCGTTGGGCCACCTTTTGCCTTCAATACTGCGGCGATTCTTCTTGGCATTGACTCCACGAGATGTTGGAAGGTGATGCGAGGAATCTGACACCGTGCCTGATGAATAGCACTGCCAGTTCTGTGAAATTTAATGGTTGTGGAACCAGCTGCCTGATGGCTCTTTCAACTTCGTCCCACAAATGCTCAATTGGATTGAGATCTGGTGATTGTGGGGACCACCTAAGCAAGGTAAAGTCTCCCTCATGTTCTTGAAACCACTCATGCACAATACGAGCACCGTGGCATGGTGCATTGTCTTGTTGGAAGAAGCCATCTTCCTTGGGATATGCCATCAATATGATAGGATGAACTTGATCAGCAACGATACTTTGGTATGTTGTGCTATTCAGACGTTGTTCTAGGCCCGGGACCAGCATTTCAGGTGCTGGCGGGAAGCTGGGGTGGAGAGCGGTGAACTTCCATTGACCGATTTCCTCCCTGCTCTATGGGACAGAGAGCTACGCGGTCACTTCTGGTACCTGAGCAGTCATTGTTCGGCTCCTGAAGCCCAGCCATAACTATGCAATCTGCACTTTAATAGCTTATTTAAAGTGTAAAGGTGACATTGAGGCCTCATTCACTATATATATATTCACTATATATATATATAGTGAATGAGGCCTCAATGTCACCTTTAATAGCTTATTTAAAGTGTAAAGTGCAGATTGCATAGTTATGGCTGGGCTTCAGGAGCCGAACAATGACTGCTCAGGTACCAGAAGTGACCGCGTAGCTCTCTGTCCCATAGAGCAGGGAGGAGATCGGTCAATGGAAGTTCACCGCTCTCCACCCCAGCTTCCCGCCAGCACCTGAAATGCTGGTCCCGGGCCTGCAGGAGTTGCAGCAGAGCCCGGGAAGCACGGTGGGGGTGTCAGGTCGGGGCAGGCACTTTACCGACCCATAGAAGCCGCCAGAATCGCTTCTATTGTAAAGCTGACAGCCGGCTTTACAAAGGTGCACAGAGTCCCGACGGGAGTCTGTTTACAGGGCCATGCTGCCAATACATCCGTGCACACGAAGTGGTTAAGGCTTCATATATTTAATCACCAGCTTTGATTTGCTGTTTCTTTCATCTGTTGTAGTAATTTTTTTTTCATGCATGCATACTAAGTACCCTGGAAGTGTAAAATTGCCAGGTATGTATTACCTCTCACCGAGATCACAGGAGTCCCCTTTTCAATGGTGGAGCT